ACAGCATGCAGCTGAGGAAGAGATTACGGAGTTACAAGTAGGTGCTTGATCTGAATTAAAACCAGAGGTGTTTGTGTCATCAGGCATTAGTGTTACAACTGGGAAGGTGAGCAGCATTTCTGATGACTGGCTGTGAGTCTGAGAATGCCCCTGTATATATACAGGTGCTGCAGACAAAATACTGGGCAGCTGGCAGCCACTGTAGCAGAGATTATGAAAAGCATGATATCACTTAGGATTTGTCCTGCCTTGAAAGCTGGTCAGGTTTTATGTAAAAAAACCATAAAACATCTGGTTGTGTGTTCTCTTCTTAAATGGGGGTGCAGTTTAAGATGTGTTTTTCTTAGGCCCTGCATTCCCATACAGCCACAAGTGTAGATCCATCTATTTGCAGGTGCAAAGGGCAGTGAATTAGGGAATTAATGTGGCTGAGAAATAGCCCAGCCAGAAAAAAACATAATTTTTTGCAATAAGTTTATCAAATGATTGAGTTAGAAGGGCCACACTGAGTTGTAAGGAATTCAGAAAGAAGAAAGTTAAGATTAGTGGATGTGGCCTTGCCTGCTAGGAGAAATACATACCTTTAGATGCAATTAGCTATGTGCCCTGAGGACTCCAAGTTTGGCAGACTTCTCTAGAGAGTCTAGCTGGGAAAGAAGTTGGGTTGTTTTCGATTGTCCTTCGTATTCCACATGGGCTTTAATAAACAGCATTTTCTTCCTATTTAATTTTTCTCTTGTGAAGCTTTTAGGTGGTGAAAAAGCTTTCAGGGTATATTCTTTTGCCATTATTTTTGAGAGATTTTTCTTGATAAGGAGGCAAAACTTCAACTGACATGGACTGACAAGAATTACAGGCTTAACAGTGTGTTACTTTAGCATGTATCCCTTATTCAGTGTGACAGAAGTAATCAGTCTCTAGTACACAACTAATTACTGCCTGCTTATACAATAATATCTTAATTGGTCATTTGGCTGTAGCTGATTGTTTTAAAACATTTTTAGCTGTCCTGGTAATTGTCCAATGCATGGTAAAATCTTGGTTTTATATATAAGGAAATACAGTAATTCATTTCACTAGGCTGCAAACACGAGTTTGTGTAGAAAGCTGGATGAAGCAAGAGAGCAGCTGTCAGAATCAGAATCTGCTCGGCTTCAGAAGGAAGAGGAAGTGACTTCTCTTAGAGAACTCTTGGAAAGGTGAGAGTTTGGATTTTTTTTTACAGAAGCTGTTAATTTGTAGGCCAAGGAAGGGGACAATAATCAAAACATATTGAAAATCACCATGGTTTATGAAGTACCATATGTCACAGGGTTTATATAGAACAAAGAGCTCATGGGCACTGGCAGGGAATATCAGATTGACACTTCACATAAGAAATATGGAAATTATGAGCACACGTGAATGCATGACATAGTTTTTAATGTATTGTTAATTTAGCTGATATAAATTAATGAAAGACATTTTTATAACCTCTTTTTACCTTATAAGTTAAGCACAAAATTAAAATAATATTGGCAGTCTTTGTAAGGAATGGAAAATTTGTACTTTTGGACAGTTTTTTTTTTCTTTCCTCTTCATGAAGTTTCAGGGAATCAGTAAGAATTATCTGAATGGGACCACATCCTGCCTGTCTTTGTCAGGTTTCTTATCAGCCTTAATAATCTAAACTCAGGATGTGTTTTCAAAGTCTGTAACGTGGGCCGGTGTGGTGTGGAAAATCTGGCAGTCAGAAATAGATCTTCATGAGGCGTGGGCTCACACAGAGTCTAATAGGTTAACTAAAGCCTATGTATTTTTATACATTTGTGCTGATATCATAGGTATTATTTCTAGTTGGTAGCCATCATAAGCTTTACTATAAGTGGGGCATCCAAGAAATTGCTGGTTGCTGGCTGTGTTCACTAGATAATGGATCTATGTGCATTTTCAGTGAAGCAGAAAACTGGGGAGATTCCGTCTAGCTCTAAAAAATATGCACACTGAGAAAAATTTCACTGAAGCTACCTGCTTATCAGGGTGGAAGAGCCCTTTGTTTCACAGGAAAGACTTGAATTTACATGAGCTAAAAATGATTCATAATTGCCTTTGTATTTGATCAGGATCCAAAAAGAAGCTGATGAAGCAAAAGAGAAGATCCTGGATTACACTGAGAAGCTCAGCAAGGTGGCAGCAGACAAAGATAGCAGTGACCAGAAGTTATTTGCTGAGCTGGATGACCTGACAAGAACAAAGCAGTTCCTTGAAGAACGTTTGATAGAACTTATCAGGTTGGCATCAAAATGAACAGCAAGGAGAAATTAAAATCCTTGCTTAGGATGTTCAGGGATCCAGGCTTATATTCCCAAATTGAAGATACAAGTAAAGGCCAAACTCATTAGTAGTTGAAATTTTGCATTTCCATAATATAGTCAAAAAATGTAACACTCAATGATATCTCCTTGATTTGCTGTCATTTTGTTTTAAAAAGTATGTAGTTCTCTGCATGGCATGTGTTCTTCACCCTGTCTTTGCAGAAGCTTCAGTAGGTTTTTTGATCTATCTTTATGTCTGAAAGCTCCTCAGAATTTTAGGAGCAAAGGAATTTTTACTGTGAAGCTTTCACCAGCATTCCAGTTGAGGTTGGTTAGCAATAAACCAACACTGTGACAACTTCTATGTGTTTTTCTTTCTTTTAACTGTGTCACTGCAGAGATAAGGATGCTTTGTGGCAAAAGTCTGATGCTCTGGAGTTCCAGCAGAAGCTTAGTGCAGAGCAGAGGTGGCAGGGGGACACAGAAGTCAATCACTGTCTGGACTGCCAGAGAGAGTTCTCATGGATGGTGCGCCGACACCACTGCAGGTCAGTTGTTGAACTGTATTGCTGTGTTCAAAAGTAAAACTCAGTGTGGTTGTCTGTGTGGAGGAAATATTTCTGGATGTTCACAGTTCAGTGATCAAAATTGTTGATACATGACATTGTAGAGGCTGAAAGAACACATGAGCTTACAAGGGGATAAGACATTATTGGAAAGATCCCTTGACATGTATTAAAACAAAGATCTGGTTGTATCTCCATCTTGGGGAGTCTGTTAGTTTCTCATTTCTTGAAACAAAGATAATCACACCCTGTATAGTATGTCTCTCTGAAGGACTGTGCACTGCTCTGTTCTTTCTCTACACAATATTCACTAGGATGGCTTTGCTACTGTGGTGGAAGTATTCCAGAACAAGTTTCAACATACTGTGCAATTATAAATTTGTTTACTTACACTAGGTGTGTTCAGAGATAATTAACTATTGCAGCATAATCTTTTTTTTTTAAGTGGTTATTAAATTATTTCCCCTACAGTTAGTTATCCAATCTAGATTTATTAAAAAGTATTTAAATTGATACATTTCAGGGTCCTAGTGATATGTTTGGTTTGGCTCTTTAGTGTTCCTTAGCCTCATGACCTGATTTTTCATGTAAAGAAAGAAGGAAACACTGAAACTGTTTCCATTCCACGTGAATGTAAACAACATTCTATAGGGATTAGTGAATGGTGAAGTCATTTTGGGTAACAGCTTCCAAATTACTCCTTTTTGCTAAGGTCTCTGAAAGCTGCTTGTGTCTTCACCCAGTAATGTTTTAAATTATTAAGAAAAACAAAACCATTAAAATTTCCTGAGTAGCAGTCATCCCTGATGGATGCTTTAATTCATGAAAATCTCAACATCCTCATTAAAAAGTAGTTGACAAGTTTAATACTGTGAGGCTTCAGAGTGGATAGGGCAGGAGGAATGAATGTACATATATGCATCCAATATTGGATTTTTTTCCTTTCTGAAGGGAAGAGGGGTCATTATTAAGCAGAGACATACAGATGTGTTTTTAAAGTCCTTATAATCAAATCAAGTTTTGTTCTACCTGTCTGTGAGATTTGGCCTGTGTAGTATTAAGTTCATTTTCTTCTTACATACTTAATATAAATATTATTTATTTGCATTACATATTTGTGGACATTTAATTGCTTTTTTGCCTTTTTTTGTGGTTTTTTTTTGTTTTGTTTTGTTTTTTTGATTTTTTTTTTGTATTTTTAGGGTTTTTTCTGTTTTACCTGTTTATTAGCAAAGTGTGAATGTGAATTTCTGTCCTGTGCTTGTCTTGCTTCACGTCAGAAAGGAGTGTGGTCTGTTATGAGTTCTGTCAGTGGGTGTAGCTTTCATGCTTTTGCAGAAAACAAGACCATTATGAGAGAGCCCCAGCCTCTGTCACAGAGATATGTTCCAGCTGTGTGTGGTAGTTTTCTAACACCTTTGGTTTTGAATCATTTCTAGAATGTGTGGCCGCATTTTCTGCTATTACTGCTGCAACAACTACATGGTGACAAAGCCTGGTGGAAAAAAGGAGCGTTGCTGCAGAGCTTGCTTTAATAAGCCTAGAGTCATTGTGGACAGTACAGATGACTCTGGATCCAGTGCCAACCAGGAAGGATCACCAGCTTCACTGGAATCACCTGTATCACCACCTGAGAGGGCTTTTGGTTAGTTTATTATTTGCATGCTGTGGAGAAATAAGTACGGTTCTTTGACAGTCTCCAAGAAACCACACGGTCACCTCCTGCTCCAATGACCTGCAGGAGGTCATGCAGTGTTTTCAGGGTGGGACTGACCCCGTCTTTGAATTGAATTGATATTGAGAGAAACATTAATGTATTAAATGAGTGTCAGTCAGACAAGGTTTTCCATTAGTTCTAATAGTTATCTAATGCTCCTGTAAATGAAGAGGAATGGCCCAGACTTCCCCCTTAAGAGTTTTGGTTGTTTGTTTTGCAAACAACCAGCTAATAGTGTTCATGTTTCTTCTCATGTTTTTTTCTGGCACAGTTGCAAATGAAGATTCTAAACCACCAGATGATGCAGCTTTTGATATAATCACTGATGAGGAGCTGTGCCAAGTACAGGAATCAGACTCTCTGCACAATGAAAGTCAGATGGAAAGAGACTCTCTGGATCAAAGTGTGACAGATCTGTGAGTTATCACTACTTCTCAAAGAGGGGACTCTTTGGAATTGGCTTTAGAATGTTCTTTTTCTCCCATTCAGTGAGAGCAGTCAACCTCTGTGTAAAGTGAAGACGTCTGTTCCCAGGCCACGTGTTCAGTAGAACAACACAAGATCATTTTGGTCTGTTTGCACAGTCAGCATTCAGTCTAGTAAATCTAAACCACTCCATGCACTCTCTCCACCTGCTTCACCACAACACAGGGGAGTAGTCCCAGCTCTGTGCTGTCATCAGGCCAGCTGTCACCATTAAAGTCAGCATTCAGGCTCTCTGTGTATGTAGACTTCCTTACTACCTTAGAAATGACAGCTTACAGAAAAGAACAATTGTGTAGCTAAATCTGGCACAAGTTTGTTCTTTTCTTTTTGAAGAAAATGGGGGTGAGTGCAGATTTCAGTAATAGCTTAATATTTAATTCTACCTAAATTACCAATGAAAAGGATTTAAGGCCATCTGAATGTCCAAATACTTGGTTTGCAAATAACATTGTAGTATTATATTTTAATCTGTATCTATTTTTTAGCAAAAATATTGTTTTACTATTGTTCAGATATTTTCAAATGTTTTACAAAAATTCTGTTCTTTAAAATATATTGTCTTTTGAGAAGAAAAAACAAAAAGAGAAATTTCACCTAAATTATGTACTTGTTTTGCTTCCAAGCAGAAAAAATAGACAGGATAAATCTAAATGCTGAACTGAAAATAGTCACAGAGTAAATAATCTGCTGCTGAGAAAGCAGACCTAGACACTTTGCACCAAACAGACAAATTTCCGGTATAAACCACAATGACTTGCAGTTTGGGTTGAAGACAGAGAGTACAGAGTTGTTTATTTGGTAAAAAAAGACTTTTCAAAATTCTACATATTTGTTTCTTGGTAAATACCTTCAATATATTCTGCCTACCTTGTAGACAGGTAACACTGACGGTGTATTCCAGCTTATCATGTGCTGGGTGGACATGAATGAACTGAATTTAGTATTGCCTTTGTTTTTCAAAAGGACAGTTTGTGGGGGGGAATTTTTGTTTGTTTTATGAAGAAAAAAGTGAAGTGTACTACTTCTTTTGATTCATGCTATCTGCGGGAGGTATATTACAGGTGAGTTAGCTCTGAAGAAAACAACAAGGAGATGAGAAATAAGTGTGGGTCACCATTTGTTTTAATTCAAGATTGGTCTAAATTCATCTTGTCTGACAAAGTATTCAGGCAGAAAGGAAGGATTGCCACTAACAAGAAGATACTATTCTTGAAGAGCACCCATGGAACAACTTACTTACACCATGTAAACTTTTAAAGGTTGTCCAGATTCCCTTGTTGTGAGATTATAAGCAGGAGAGCCAGGAAATAGTGCTTTATCCTCTGTTGCTTTTTGTTAGCAGTTTCATGAGCAGGTGGGTGAGTCTTTGAACTGTGGCTGTACTTTGAACTTGAGACATTCTTTGCAGAGAACACAAATGACACCTGCCCTTTCCCATGACACCTGTAATGTTTGGAAGGCTCAGGCTCACTAGCCTGAGCACTGGAGAGGAGAATGGCCTTCTTGCATTGCAGATGATTTGTTGATTGTGGGTTTGTGTTATGGGAGAGATCTAGAAACTGATACATGATTCAGATGATGGTGTGATGCCTGTGGTGAATGTTAAAGAAAAACAGCATGGCACAGTGCTGATTGTGACAGCACACAGGTCTTCTCACTTGTTTCAGTGGTGAGGTGTACACCTGTACCCAAAGCTTGAGTGTCACTTAGCACAGGAAGGAGCAGGAAGTGCAGCATGAGATACTTGGGTTGTTTGTGAGTAAATGTGCCAGAGCCACTGTATTGTCTGCTGACCCTCTGTCCTATCTTTAACAGCAGCCCTTGAGAGATGTACTAAAAATTTTCCACAGTGTTTTCTCCCACAGTTCAAGGACCTGCAGTTCAGTGACTTTCTGAGCTACTGATTTGATTGCTGCAGATTTCTTGGCTGTACTGGGCTGACCACCTTGAACTTCATATAGACGTATCATCTTTATTCTTTCTCTTTCTAAAGTGTCCAGCTAAATGTGGCCTGATTTCTAGGTGGAAACATCACATAGTCTCCACTGGCATTCCAATAATGTTCTCTTTGCATTAAATTGAATATTTGGAGTAGAATTTTCTTAGATATACTGTCTGGGGAACACACAAAGAATCTAAGATTGTGGTTGCTAGATGCAGTTCTGAGGAAAGCATACAAATAAGTCAGTTTTCCAGCTAAACTTCTTTATTGAGATCTGCTGAAAATAATCCAAGCTATTTTGATTTTGCCAGAGATTTAAACCAGCTGGTGGAGCTTTAAAAATGAAGGAGAGGGAAGAGAAGGGAGGCTGGCTGTCCAAGTAGAAGATCTGCAATTGACATGCTTTGTTGACATAGTTTCTTATGATCTCTCTCTCTGGCTGACAGCAGAGTTTTTCACACTGACCATACCTATAATACTAGGTGTGAGTCCTTGCTGGACTAAAAATGCAAGTTGGTCTTCAAAGCAGTGAATTATCTTAAAGGACATTCCTGTTCCTATTTGTCCCCCTTATGGTGCCTACTGTACTTTTACTCTATTTTTCACTTGGTGTCTTAGCCCTGCCACTGTTGTTCTTTCCTTGAAGTGACATGAAACAATTACAACAAAATTCTTTCATAAGAGCAAATCTTGAGATGGGTACCGATCAGTTGAGAATCAATTAAAACTCGCCTTAGTCATCATCTGCAGAGGTGTGTGGCAGAATAAGAGAGATGATTGTACCAACATAAGTCTGGCTGACCTTGAAGTAGCTATTTCCTAAAGGTTAGGATTAAGCAGCAGTTTGTTCATCCTTTCAAGTTTGTTATGTGCGTTTGGACCAACCTGATCAAAATCTTGAATGTGAGAAGCTGAGATTAATTGTGCAATTGTGATACATCTTGCTACTTCAAGGCGCAGGGGTTTTCTTTTGAAGTGTTGTATTTTGAACTCTTATTTCTAAAGTACATTTGCATATTGTATTATAAAACAAAGGGCCCCAGGATAAACCAGTGCACTGTGTTTCCATTTTTATGTGTTGTAGGCATAACATGCCTGTAATCAATGTTGCAGCAGCAAAATCAAGGTCACAGACAGCAGAAGAGTGAAAAAACCCCAAAGTTGCCACTAGCCTGGTACAGGAACAAAGTTTATTCACATCTTGGTAGTGGTAGAAAGAACGTCTCAGCCTGTCTGCATAGTGGTTGCTTTTGTTTGGATTGCTTTTTTTCTTGATGACTCATAACACTCTTTGCTGGCCTAATTACAACTCATGTGGCTGGGCAGGGTGCGGCATAGCTGAAAGGGGGAAGTGCATGTTGTCTGAAGTGTTCCCTGCCCAGTGCAGAACCAGCCAGGAAGGAGAGGGGACAGGAGCACCTCTTGCCACCCTGTGCTGGAGCACCCTGCCACCTTGCAGCTGTGTGTTGAGATGGCACCTTTACACATGCAGTCACACCACATTGCTTTGTAGGTTTGTTTTTAAGGATATTTCGCTGTGGGAGAAACAATTGTGTAGTAAGGAAAGGATTGCCCAAGGAGTTGTTTCCTAAAGGGAAAAGTGGTGAGATGGGCACACTGCTGCCAAAAAGGGTCAGGTTCCTCTGAGCTGCAGTGCTCTTATAGGAAGGTCTGGGTATTAATGGGGAGTAAAGGACCATCCAGAGAGTGTGGTTTTTGCAAGAATGGTTTGAAGTAGTTAAAATTGGTATTTCAAAGGTGTAATGCAAAGGATTTTGACCCTTTGGGCCACACCCAACCCTGCTTTTATTGCAAGCAGCCCACAGCTGTGTAAAGTCCTCCCTTTGCTCCTCTGCAACATCCCTTCTTTCTTTTCCCTGTTCCAGTCTCACACCTGCTCTACTACTTTGTGCAAGAGCTTTTGCACACTTTTCTGCCCCCTGCACATCTTTTTCCCTCCAACTGGAAAGTGAAAAGGCCAGAAGTGGAAAGGGAGAACTGGTGGAACAAGGTTGGAAAACAGCCAAGGAATCCACAGTTTAATGACAAGGGAACCAAGGTGCCAGGAAAAACAGACTGGAAAGATGTCATGATGCAAAGAATGTGTGGAGAATCAGGGTGTGAGAGTTTGCATCTACAGAAACACTGCTCATTGTTGGAGCCCATGTGTGTGTGATATGATATTCCTGGTGTTCACAAGGGGCCTGGTAATCTGGCAACATGAGCTCTGTTATAAAATAAAGAAAGAGATGTGTATGGGACACTCAGACCGTGAACCTGATAGTAAGTGAAAGGCAGAGGAAAACGCTACTTTATCACAGAAATTTTAGATGAATGCTAAAGGATTTTGTCTACAGACCTTGTCCTAGATGGAAAAAAAACCCCAAAACATCCAAAAAAACTCAACCACACATGAAACTCAGCATGAAAATTGAAATATATATGTTTAAAATCTAGGAATTCTCATTAAGTGAATGGGCTGAACTAAAATATGTAATATATTTGAAACAACTCATAAAAGCTTTCATTAACAAACACCATTCATAGAAAACCAGCAGGCAAGAGGTTTGGGAGTCAGGAAATTCAAATTACCTTTATGTCATGAAAAGTGCAGTTTTATCTCATTGTTTTTTATACTTTTTGAAGATCTGCACTGTTAACTCAGTTACCAGCTTGGACTGAAAAAGCAGGAAGTAATAAAAAGTATCATGATAAAAATAGGTTGGTTCTAAGCTGATCACGATGTTTTTAGTAATGGTATTTCCTCTTTCACTCAGACTCCCCACATCAGTATTTACAAACAAAACAGACAGAAAAAAAGAAGCTGAAAAATAGTTACCAGATTTTCTAGGCAGTTTTATAGTGAGTACATGTTTGTGGCATCTGCACTATATAAAGCAGTAAAAGATTTAGAGTCTTCCTCTTTGATGGTTTGCCACTGTTGAGCTGTAACTTACCATTTGGCACATCTTGATTTTTTAATAACTTTGTGTTAGTACTTCCTGATTTTCATTCCTGTGAAGAAGTAGAGGATTAAGACAGGCATAAAAATAAGCAAGAGCTTTTGTTATGGTAATTGCATATTCAAAGCTGCTGTTCAATTTAAAGCTCCAGTCTATGATTTTTATCAATCTGAAGAAAGTATAGGGTATCTGGGTAAGAATAAACAGGACAACTACAGAAAATATTTTATAGATTTGTTCTTTTGAAGACTTTTAGCACACAGTAAGGTTTTAATAATTAGTGAGTAGCAGATGATCATGGCAAGCATGGGAATAAAGTAAGCAAGACTCACTTGGATCACTTCAAGAACCTGTTCTGTGTGACAGTTTGGGTATTCTTCCTGACATATTTCATTATCAAAATTAACACCTCCCAAAAAACAAAGTGTGGTCCAGCAAATGCTTGTGAGATCACCCGGATCAAGACAGAGATTAATTTGCCCCATGTCATTTGTTTGGTTTGACACATGTGCTTTGGTGGCAAAAGTAACAGCAATAAGCTGGTCAAAGGTGATAGACATTAGAATTAACATTGAAGTGTATACAAGCCCCATGACATGCCACAGTGCCTGAAATCCACTCCTGAGCAGCAGAGTATGCTCAGAGTGGCAGCATCCAAAGAAAAACCCAGTCAGCTATAGCCAGGTTCAGCAAAAGTACTGTCAGTTTCTGTCAGCGTCTTCAGTTTCATGTAGAAACTTAGTATGACAAAGACCAGTGCATTTCCTGTTAGGCCGAGGATGAAAACAACAAAATACATATGTGGCAGAAAGACTCTTATTAATATGAAAATTCTCATTTCTGTTTTCATAGGGATAAGTGAGGGAGAAGGTATAATAAAAGTTAGCACTATCTGTAGTTGCCATGTTGCCTTCTTTTTAAAGGCAGCCTGGAAGGATACATATTGAGATTTTTTACTCAGCAAATAATTAAATCCTAATGCACCCAGGAGACAGACAAAATCCTAAGTGCTAACAGATAAGAGTTGTAGTAAAGCATCCATGACAGACAAAGGCAAATCTATTTATTTGCTGAAGAGGATTGTCTTGAGTCAGGGCCTAAACACAACAGCTGGTGGATTTGAACACATCATCTGTTACTAGATTTATATTGATGGGGACTCAAAAGCATACTCAAAAGACAATTACAAAGAGGCTTCTGGAAACAGTGTAAGGATTAAGCTTTCTAATACATCAGTGATTTAGTGCTTGAATTGGGGTTTCTGGAGAAACCCATGAGAGAAATAAAATTTGTTTTGTCAAATGTGCCATTTAGGCTCAGGTTGCAGACTGAGCATCAGAGTTGTTTGGCTTGGGTTGGACCTGTCCCAAAAGTAAGGATTTGAGTCTCAATGAGTACTTCAGAACTTGTGTTTCAGTTAAGCCTCATCTTGTTCTTTAGATGTCAGTCACATCATCAGATGGCAGCACTTCTTCCTTTCCCCATTTCAAGCGACTTACTGAAACATGGAGGATTTTCATTAATGCACTATATTTGTATTACTCTCAGAGGAAGGTGTCACCAATTCTCTGTCAGCCCCTTCCATCACACTCCCTTGCAAGAGTTGATGGGGTTTTGCAGTGTTAGCTCTCCAAGTTAAGGAGAGGCTTAATTCCTTAAGCCTCTCCTTAACTCAACAGCCCTACAGTCAGGGATGTTGCCAGCACATAAAGTAACAGCCCCAAGACTAGTGATCTTTGCAAGCTGTTTACCTGGTAAATTAAGTCTTTTGTAAGACAGGTTTATTGGCTTTTTAAAGATTCAGCCCAAATGCTAAATGCCCTCTCTTCTGAGCTACAAACACCATGTTTCTGTGAGATTAATGCTACTAAAGATATTACTCTGCATAAGATTAGCAGAACTCACCTCTGATTCAAGATTGCCTGAAAGGCGTCACCTGGTGAGTTCTAATGTACAGCAGTTCGAGGGTCCCCTGGTTCTGCAAGAGAGGGAAACACTGCTGAGAGAAATGAGCCCACACAAGCAGATCTTTGCAGCAGCCTGTGCTACTGTAGCTGGAGTACTTTTGGAACTCTGACTTGTGGAGCTGTGAGCTTGTATCTGTGACTGCTTGAGTTTGGTGCCTGCAAATGCACATAAAGAAAAAAAATTGTCTTACTTCTGCAGCATCATTTATTGAAAGAACACTACTGACATGAGAAATGTAAGGCTGTGTAATGCTCTTTAAAAACTGAGTTCTCCTTTGTGCTTCATTGCATGTGATAGAAATTTCTTTGCCTCTAAGAAACAAACTGGGAGCAAGGTGCTAAATATTCACAAACTGTTCCTGTCAAACAGCAGAGCAATACGTTGTGATAACCACCTGCTTTTATCAGTTATTTTGAGATGCAGAATAAGGTATGAGGATGACAGAGCAGTGGCTAAGCTATGTGATAACATATGGGTTGTGTGAATTTATCCCCTATAAGGAGTGGGCTGAGAGAGTAGCTCTTACTCCTGGTTGGGTCAGTCTGAAGAACATTTGATTGTAGATCTGTGAAGGACCTTGGGTGCAGAAACCACCCTGGCTGCAGGGAACCTGCAGGCTCTGGGATGGAGCAGCCTCTGTGGAGCTGCAGGCTGGGCAGGGAGGGCTGGGCAGCAGCTCTGCTGAAAGGACATGGGGCTCCTGGTGAATACTGTTGTAAACTCAGGCCAGAAACTGCTTCTGCTGTATCTCTCCTATAATTATGCCTGAGTTTCCCTTAACAGCTTCTAAAGAACTTTGTGAAAAGAAAATTCAAAGGTGTCTTAACTAGTGCTACCCACTAGTGGTAGAGGTGGCTATAGCCTTGGTGATCTACAGGCTGCAGTATTTGGGCTATACTGACAGCAGCTTGTCAGTATTTTTAGTGTTGATTTCTCGTCTTCTGTTTGCTGCCTCCTGCTGGGAAGGGAACCTGAAAGCACCCTGGTAATCCCTAATAGAGTGTGACCAGGTTTAAGGCAGGGGAGTCCTTTTGTATTGTTTCTTGGTTGTTTTCCTTTGTTTCATACAGGACGTAGCATAGCTAAGTCATAGATACTTTTTTGAGAAATAGCTGGGATTTCATTTATAGCAGTAAGCATCTGACCCATAGCACACAGTGATGGATCTTCGTGTCCATCCATCTTTTTCTGTGTAGTTTTGCAATTGTCTGTGTGATTTTTTGCCATGTCAACATGTCCGGGTTTGCCCTTAATACTTCCCTTTCCCACCCATACACCTTCATGCAAGACACTGTCTTGCACTCTGTTAAAAATCAGTGAGCTCTGTATCCCCCTTGCTCCATCCCACATGATGCCTCTTTTCTTGCCCATGTGAGGGGCTGTCTGTGGTATCTTTTCTTCTGATCCTTTAGTGTCCTCTTTCCATTTTTTCTGCTCTCTATTGGGTTGTAGAGGAAGGCTAATAAATAAGTTAGGGTGCCTGGGGTGGGTTTGACCTGCTAGATAACAGCAGGCCCAGGGAGTAATTGGTGCACTTCAGCATAATGCCTTTGATGTTTCTTTGCATTTTCAGATGTGTTTGCTGGGCTAAGCAGCTGTTAGGGGCTCTGTACAGCCTCCAGTCTCCGTTTCAGGTTTCTGCCTTTCACACAATTCGGTAAGACTCTCACCTGGATGACAGAAGTTCTCTCCAGAAATCATTGCACTGCTGACAGGCAGATGGCTTCTGGGATTTCACTGCTCAGCCACATGAAGCCAACACCTCTGGCATGTAGCTACAGCTCTCAGAGTTCAGGTGTTTATGAAAACAGAAAATTTAGATTTGAACCATTTTTTTTCAGGTTATAATTCTAAAAGTGACTTCTAACTTTTAACTCCCCAAGCCATTTATGATGTTGGCCATAGTATTTTTAGTATCATTTATAAGAAATGCTTTCCATGTATAAGAACAGGCACAGTGGACAAGGCCATCCACCTTAGGGACAGTGACCAACAGCAGGTGCCTGAGGAAGTGCATAAGAACAAGACCAGCATGAGGCAATAATTCTTCAAAATGCTCTGTCAGCTTCCAACAATCCATGTCTCGAGGCTTTGCTGAATCAGAGCTGTTCTCTTCTTGCTGTAGTGTCTTTTCCATGTATCAGTTCTTTCTGCTTTTCGTCCCACTCCATTTCACTTTTAAAAAGAAAAAGAAGTGAAAGAATACAGACTGTTTAAATAGATACACTAGAGGCTACATATTTATAATCTGGGGACCTGGCAAACTGTAGGAATATCCTTAGTGCTAACACAAAGGGTGAGTGGGTCACGCAAGAATAAATTCTCTTGTCAGGGGAAAAATGTTCCAGTTGAATCATGATACTGTTTCTGATATTATAGCCTACCAGAACTTAGTTTAGACTGTTAGACTCTGTGAGATATCATAAAGAGAAGGAGGATTTTCTTTGTGATTATAGGCACTTTGGTTTAATACACAAATCAGGATACTTAGCACTCTCTTAGCCTTAGATGTGTGGTGAATGTATTGGTTGGAACAGCCAAGTGGCAAGGTAACCACCTAACCATGTACTGGGTTGCAGCAGCAGGAATAAGGAAAATCATGTGTTAGAGAAGAACATGAACATATATTGGTCCTGGGATTTAATTTACATTTCAGGTTTCCTAATGAAAGATGAAATTAATGGACTAAATCAAGAACTCTAATGGCGTTGTGTAGGAAATTGTGGAGTTTGACACTTCTGGAAAGCCTGTAATTGTGTAGTTCTCTTGCTCTGCATGAATTCAAGGCTGTGAAATTAAAGCTGTGTAGCTGACCTGGTGGGATGGGAGACTTATGTGGATCACAGCATGAAGCTGGTTGCTGTTCCCACTGTGCAAGCAAAATGTATGTGTAGGTTTACAAGCTATAGTTTAATTTTCCAGTTTGTGGTTTTGGTGTTTTTATTCCAGAATCAATTTTCTTATCCGGTTGTATAAAGATAGTTAACAAGAAATTATTCTTATCAGTAAGTATTTGCACAGATGTTGTACTAACCTTTATGGAACAACAGTAGTAAGTACTTCATGCCTACATTCCTTGTATCTGGTTACAGCTCAGGTTTTGGCACTTAATTACAGCTTTGAGTCTCCCATGCACATCCCAGCTGTCACTTTAGGGTATTAACAGTAGTGGTGTGTCTGAAGAAGTCAAGAGGTATTCAAGAGACTGCAAGAATAAAATAGTAATATCAAGAGTTTAGGAAATGTATAGACAGTGGGTGCAGTTTAATTTGCAGTCATAACAGTAAATCCATCCAGTCTCCAAACCATAATGTCACTGCACTAAACTGGCATGTGATTGCGTGTTGGTGACACAGTATATTCAGATGCTGCTCATAACCACCTGAGGGAGATATTTTCTCATGCTCTTCTGCTCAGCAGTGCTGCTTGTAGAGCAATGTCCCATTGGATTTAAAAGAAAATGCTAAACTGTGCATTGATTTTGAGAATTGGTCTACAGCAGGTGTGGCAGTTATGCTCTCTTGGGGCATTACAGCACTTGATGGTTCAGAAGCACGTATTTTATTAGACTCCACTGGTTTTTGGAAGGAACCAACCAGCTCGTTCCCTGTAAATGAGAATCCTTGGCATTTTTCTGGGACAGCTTAATTGTCTCAAATTTCTGGAATGCAGAGAAACAAAACAAGAATCAGTCAGAGAAGCTCTAATTTACTTGGAAACTATCAGCGTTTGTTCCCTGATTCTCAAACTCATCCTTCTCTCTGTGTCCAGCCCTGTAATTCATACCTGGTGCTACTCCAGCGTTCACCCAGAGCATACATCTTTTTTGAGGTAAGGAGTGGATAGCAGGTTCTTCCCTCTGCTTCACTGCTCTCTGGGACACATCAAGGTGTGGAGGAAACATCCTGCTTTGTCATCTTGTAACAGTATCTTTGGTGTGTTTGTGTTGGATCATGCAGTATTTTTTGTACAAAAAGAAGACACATGGTAGCAATTCTACAGCAATAGAATTTGTTTTGTGTACAATTGTCAGAGTAAGGAACTGGATAATATGTCTGTAAAACACCTCCCAGATTAAATCCAGGGAGACATCTTATCCTTTTGCAAGCTTTGTTTAAGGGACAAGTGGAGACTTTTTTGCTTGTGTCTGCCCCTCAAGTTCCCACCTGCCAGAGAATCTTCAAAACCTGTCATCATCTCAATAAGAAATTTATGTTATGATTGCAGAAAAGATTTTCTGGCTGTATTTATGTGTTTCTCTTAGCTCATGAAACCAGGATAAAAACAGATTTACATTTGTGCACAGTGATGAGCAGAAGGGGGCTGTGGTTTTGCCCAGTTTTGTCACTAGAATGGGCCAACTAAGAATCCTAGAATTTGGTATCAGGACTATCAAAACATTTATATTTTAGGAAGGCATCAGCATGCAGATTGTATTTCATCACATACTACTCAGAGAATCATGACTTTCCTTCTTTTCCTTGTTCTAGAAACAGCACGTGTAATTCTTCAACTTTCGATGAATCCGAAGACTGGCAAGTTGCTCAAGATGCTGAGATATGCTTGTTGAAGTCAGGAGAAATTATGTAAGCAGAACAATTTCATTACTATGGGTGAAAGCATAAAGGCTGAGCTCAGATACCAGCTATGTGAGCACAAGCCTTGCAGGCTCCTCGAAGGGCTGCTCACTTGTGTCCCATGGTAAAATTTGGTCTGACGAGGATGAGAGGTTGTAACTCAACCACACAGAGCAGCAGCAATGAGCCAGGTCCTCTCTCTTCAATCACAGTGCAACTGGGAAATAAGCAGGAAAGATGTAGGTCCACATCATATGAGAAAACATTTCCTATTTTTATTGCAGGAATTGCTGTCAACATGAAGGGGGTTTAGAGAAAAGGCTGTGCAGTTCTAACAGTCTCTGAAAGAAACTGCAAGGGCAAGTCAGGGATGCAGCTCTAGTTGGAACTTTGCCAAAGGCAGGGAATTCATGGCCTAATGTATCTGTTATTTATTGGTGGCTTCCCAGAATCTGTTTTGCCTGCTCTGGTTGATGCATGCCATAGCATAAAATGTTTGTCTAAGCCTCAGCTCAAGCTCTGTGTGTACTGTATGTACAATTCTCTGCATGTGTCCTGCTCTGAAATTCCTAGCTACATGCAGTAGTGGTACAGCATGTCACTTGCACAGCCAAGAATGGAATCCATTGTGTGGAAATGCACAACTTAGAGAAATTCACCTTTGCTCACTGTCCCTTTAAACCTAGCTTTGAAATTTTGCCTTAGTTATGGGAAAGGTTTTAAACTTGTGAGTGCAACTAGATAAATCAGTCCATGTTTCAAACTTGTTGCTGCTGTTCAGAGATCCAGGTAAATGAAGCAGTAACTGGAATCATAGCTGGGCTGTAAGGCAAAACCAAGAATGATATTTAGTTTATTAAAATCAAAGGTCACCTGAGACACGACAGGACTGTAGTTTACTCTGATCTCATTTTTTGGCAAACAGTTTATTTGGCCTGAAGAGTGACATATCAGATTAGTTTTAGTTAGGGTAATGTGGGTGAGATCCCACAGATTTTAGAAATTACAGGTTTCCCCTGAAGAAAGTAACCAGTGTTCTGCTTCACGGTCTCACTGATCACAGTCTTAAACAGACACCAGAATGAAGTCAGCTCATCTAATGCTGTAGGACTCTGCATCATCTAGATGCTAAGAGTTTCCTTTTTAACTGTAAGTATTTTGAGTCAGGTTTTTTGCAGCTTGGTTGGATAAAGCAGACCCAGATGTAGCATTAAGCGCTTCAGAACAGAGCTGCTGTTCACATTTCACCCACCTGTCCCCTCTGTAATCCTGATCCCTCCTGTTTCCTGTGCAAATTTTTATATTCAACTAGGAAGGTGAATAAACCAGGTCACTTACTTTTTGCTTAAAAAGAACAGTAGAGGGCAGCCCTCCTTTCTCATCTGTAGTAACTCTAAAAAGCTTTATTACAGCACTGGTTTTCTTCAGTTGACATAAGATAAATAGCTGAACAAAATGCACTCGTGCCAGAGCAGTGAAGGTTCTTAATATCAGTCAGCTTTTTTGTAGTTTTTACCTTCATCTGAGGCTGAATTTTCATGCATCTTGTGGACGTGTCCCAAATACACTGTGGAGACTACTTGAAATAGGTGGAAAATAAAAATCAATGATTAGTGGTTTTGTCTGAGTAAGTGGATTGGATCTATTGAAGTAATCATATATTTCTCCGTCACAGGATGAAATTACCCCTTACAGTAGAAGAGATCATGAATTTTGGAGAAAGCAACAGAGAGCTGTTCATCAAATCCAGCACCTACAGTATCATTCCCATCACTGTTACAGAGATGGGACTAACAATCAGCTGGATCTTCTCATCAGACCCCAAAAGCATATCCTTCAGTGTTGTCTACCAAGAGTCCGAAGACACGCCGCTGGATCAGTGCAAAGTAAGGCCTTTGTCTCCGTACTACCTTACAGGTTGTACTGCTCTACTCTCATCCAGCCTACAGGAATTGACAAGGATTGCTAGGAGGTCTTCACCAGAATGG